AGCCCAATGTTCATTTCTTAAAAATTAAAAAAAAGTCATGTCGATCTATCGATCTATATGAGTTTGTTCACAAAAACCTACTCTATCTATCTCAGCCTGCTCACATCTACCTACCTGTTCGTTGATTATCTAAGTAAGTTTACTCATTATCTATCTATCTATCTATCTATCTATCTATCTATCTATCTATCTATCTCAGACTCCTCACATGTACCTACCGGTCTGTTTATTATTTATCTTAGTCTAATCATTATCTATCTATCTATCTATCTATCTATCTATCTATCTAGTTTCCTATCGCTGAATACTTTCCTCTTTTTACACACTTTTCGTGATCTCCTTAGTTCTCTTTCTCTCTCCCTTTCTCTCTCTCTCTCTCTCTCTCTCTCTCTCTATCTATCTATCTCAGCCTGCTCACATCTACCTACCTGTCTGTTCAGTATCTAACTTAATTTACTCATTATGTATGTATGTTTTAAAAATTTATCTATCTATCTATCTATCTATCTATCTATCTATCTATCTATCTATCTATCTATCTATCTATCTATCTATCTATGTAATTCGCTGTAACGACACTTGACAGCTGAGTACGAGATTGTTGAATTTGTGCGGTTTCTGAACCAAGTAACTTATTGGGTGTTTGTTGGCCTTTCTTCTCGTTCGTCTCAGCTTGTACCTGTATGTCTGTTGGTCTTTGTATGTTCTCACGTCCCGACTTTCAAACTACCATTCATCTTCTTCTCATTGCTAAATGGACCAATTTCACATTCCAAAGCTGAAACATTTCCAGAAAACAACATTCCATTCCTAGCACATGATCACCACAGTGGAAGCCATCACAAGGAATAGGCGGACGTCGATTATGAAAACAAGAGAATAGGTGCATGCGCAAAGAGGTCGGCCAGTATCCTAGAAAAAGTTAAAAAAAAAGAATGAAAAAAAGGAAAAAGATAGTTAACTGATTATGGCGCCTGGGAGTTGATAAGACACTCATTAGGTGAGAGGTAGTCGATAACAGACTGGGAGGTGGGTGGAAATCAAAGAACCGATTGGAGCCTCCTTTCATGTTACTTTCATTTTCCCTCTCCATTTTTGGGCGTCTGTTCGCTACATTAAAGAAAAAAATCTAAATAATAGGGTCTATTTTAAAAGGCCTTGTGATTTCAGGTTCTTTCAGAAATTTGGATATTTTATCTCTTCCATTTCTCCCCCTCTCTTTCTCTTCCTTCTCATATTTATTTTTTTCTATCTATCTATCTATCTATCTATCTATCTATCTATCTATCTATCTATCTATCTATCTTTTTCTATCTATCTATCTATCTATCTATCTATCTATCTATCTATCTATCTATCTATCTATCTCAGTCTTTTCATTATCTATCTATCTATCTATCTATCTATCTATCTATCTATCTATCTATCTATCTATCTGATTGCTTCATTTTCTGGATATCCTCGTGGGTCAATATTGATGAATTACATAATTTTCTCCATAACTTACACCTGAAGATTCAATTCATACAAGAATATAATTTTAACGAACTGCCATTCTATGCTCATCAGAAATAGAAATAACGATATTGTTACAGATATCTCCCAAAAACCTAAAAACACCCAACAATATCTTCATTTTAAGAATCATCACGCAAAAAGCTGTCTAAATTCCACCACCAATTCCCTATCACGTAAGGATTTGCACTATAGTGGCAGACAAACACCTCCGAAAATAGCGTAAAACTCTAAAAAAAAAAAAAAACAACAACAAAAAACGACAAAAAAAACGAGTATATCCCACGCCATTTATAAACTAGGGTTCTGAACGATCATATAAATACCTTTAGACCAACTACGAAAGCCAAAGAAACGCAAAAACCAACAAATTCTAGAAGACGTCTCAGCATACAAGAACAATCCAGAAATATTAACAGAAATAACAAGAAATCTAAACCTACTTAACAAGAATGATAAACTGAAACATATACTAAAAACAACCAAAACAACTAAAAGCAAACACCAATCAAAAACCTAAAACACATATTAACATCATCCAAATTTAGACATCTCCCCATATAGAAAGTGTCACAAAATGCACAAGATGTGAAATTTGTGATATAATTATAGAGGGGAAAATCCTATACTTTTGAAAACCCCACAAATGCATTGACAATAATGAAAAACTCCAAAAATGTAATTTATGAACACCGGTGCACAAAATGCAACATATTTTATGTAGTTATCACTCAAGCACTAAACAACATTCTCGCTACACAAAATCAATATTAAATTAACAGAAAACAGAAAACTCCGTATCACAACACATCCATAAATGCAACAAGGATTAATTTTAAAATATGCCACTATATCAAACAGACGATTACTCTTACCTCCAAATACAAGAAGAAAACACACACACATAGTGGCAAGACACACAAACACACCATAAACAATGAATGTATTTACTATATAGGTTTCATTATCATAATATAATATATAATATATATGTACATAAAACAAATATATACATACTGGCAAAAACAAACGCTCTAGATGGACCACACACGCGCCTGCGCGCGCACACACACACACGAACCCTACACAACATTCAACGTGTATATATAATTTTTTTATCACCTAAAAAGTGTTGGAGGCCATCTATATTTTATCTTTAAAGCCTTCTCTTTGTAAACAGAAGGACTTTATAGTGATTTGCTAAACCCTGCTTAGATGTGGCACAAGGCCAAAAGTATGAGGCATCCAGTGAGGATTTAACTCACTTTTCAGTAGTAACTAATCTAGCAAGACAAGCTTGCTAACCATTACACCACGCTGAGGTGCCATAGAAGCACTTTATATTAGGCCTCCAGCTAATTACCATTTAAATATTTCCTTCCACCAATAAACTTTGTCCATTGTTCTTTTTTTTAATTATATAATTTACTTTATTTACCTCGATTTAGCTCTGTTGAGCGAGGTACGAAACCGGTTAGCTAGCCCGTTTTTCATTTTTACTTTTTATTATCATGAGTGGGTAATAATAAAACTAATTTTTCTCTTTTTATGGCAGTGATAAAACTTTGTTTGTATCACCAAACATATCTTTAAATATATATATATATATATATATATATATATATTTACATTATTCGAACTATTGTCCTCATCTTTGTCGCCATATTTATTACAACGGTTCGGCCGTTGTACGCTCTGGCCTTCTTCAGGTGGTTGGAATAACGAAGTGAACCCTTTATATCGCTCACTGGGGTAGACTGTTCTAGTTCCACGTGCCATGTTTAATGGATGTCAGTTATTAGTTATCTCCTGTTAATTTTCCCTCTGAACTCACACTCTTTGGGTTCTGTCACTGGATCTAACCAACGCCTTTATCCACTGTGCCATGTGTCCTTGAGGACATCTGTGTGTGAATTTCTGGGTATTAAACGTTGTAGTAAATATGACGACAAAGGTGAGGACAATAGTCCGAATAATGTAAATAATATACATAATACCTCATCTCAGAAATATATATATATATATATATATATATATATATATATATATATATATATATTATATATTTGGATTGATGTGAATTTGTGATCCTGAGTTTCACGCTTTTGCGATCGTCAGACAAACAAAAATTATAAAGAAACCTATATATATATATATATATATATATATATATATAGGTTTCTTTATAATAATACAATATATATGTATAGATAAATAATATATATAAAATAATGGCACAAACACATATGCACGCACACACACAATACACAAGAATAGAGGTAAAAAGACATCATGAAAAAATACAGTAGCTTTATTGCCTTGCTTAGGGGGAGGCTTACGGCCATATCATGTTGAGACACCGGTTCCCGTATGATCAACGAAGTTAAGCAACGTCGAGTATCTCGATGTATGGCCGCTTGGGAATACCAGGTGCTGCAAGATTTGATGTGCGGGTGGTGTAATGGATAACGGCTTGGAATTGTTAATCGGAGAGCCGAGTTCCAATTCTCATTGGGTTCGTTTTATTCACTTACGCGCAAATAGCCTTGGAGAAATGTATAAATCCACCTCTTCTCCCCCAGCTATGTGTTAATTAGTAAGTCTTGTCTCACTAAAGCCTTATTATCTCAAAAAACAATCTAAAAATATTTTCTGGCTTTAAATAACCTGCAAAATGGTTGATAAGCCGTAGAAAAAGAATCAACCCATCAACCAACCATCTAGGTACTGATCAGGCTTAACTTCGCTGATCGTGCAAGAACCGGTGTTTCAACGTGATACGGCCGTAAGCCGTGTATTTTCTATCGAACCCATTGACTGGTGTTCTAGCTCTGTAAAACAAGATTTCTAAGATTAGGTGATTTTGGTGTTTAATTCTGCTTTGTGATTTTGGGAGTTCTGTATAATAAGTATGGATATTATTAATGGTTAGCGAGTTAGTTTAGAAGACGACCAGCATAGTGAGTTCGATCCTCATTAAATATTTCTCACTTGTAAGCTTTGTATATGATTCAACGGAGAATCGGAGATTGATCTTAAATATTGGTGATTGCACTCATATGTGCATCCGAGTCTACACGCTAATGCAAGATATACACATGCACTTGTATACAGATTCAGTAGATAGGTACATAGATAAAGTATATTTCGGCAACAATTTCTGGTCATTTATCAAAATTTGTAGGAATTTTGTTCGGTCAAAGAATGGTTGGTTGATGGGTTGATTCTTTTTCTACGGCTTATCAACCATTTTTCAGGTTATTTAAAGCCAGAAAATATTTTTAGATTGTTTTTTGAGATAATAAGGCTTTAGTGAGACAAGACTTACTAATTAACACATAGCTGGGGGAGAAGAGGTGGATTTATACATTTCTCCAAGGCTATTTGCGCGTAAGTGAATAAAACGAACCCAATGAGAATTGGAACTCGGCTCTCCGATTAACAATTCCAAGCCGTTATCCATTACACCACCCGCACATCAAATCTTGCAGCACCTGGTATTCCCAAGCGGCCATACATCGAGATACTCGACGTTGCTTAACTTCGTTGATCATACGGGAACCGGTGTCTCAACATGATATGGCCGTAAGCCTCCCCCTAAGCAAGGCAATAAAGCCACTGTATTTTTTCATGATGTCTTTTTACCTCTATTCTTGTGTATTGTGTGTGTGCGTGCATATGTGTTTGTGCCATTATTTTATATATATTATTTATCTATACATATATATTGTATTATTATAAAGAAACCTATATATATATATATATATATATATATATATATATATATATATATATATATATATATATATATATAATTACAGGAAAAAGTGTGTGTCAAAGTGTGGGGATCGATAAAGAGAATTTTTTTTAAATGGCGGGAAATACTATAATTCCTTTCAAACAAAATGAAGAAATAAATAGAAGAAAAAATATAGGGAGCGATAAAAAAAAAATCCTTCCTGCTTTTTGTTTTTTTTTACCGATCGTGAGTTCCTCAAAAAATCCAATGATAGATTATGATTCATTATGATTCGGCTTTATATATTTTTTCTTTTAATGTTACTTTCAGTCTTTTGATTTTTGCACTACTTACCTCTAATCTGAATTCTATGCTTTGCTTGTTGACCGATCAAGAAGAAATCCGTGTATAAGAATTCTGATTGTCAGAATAATAGGAATGGTAAATTTAACAGAGATGTGGCGTAATTTACAAATTTAGGGAACCACTAATCACCAGTAGTAGACAAAATGCTCTCATCTATCTCACTATATTTTTTGTTCTCTTTTACTGAATAAGTCTGAGTTGTTGTTCGTGACTAAGGTTATGATTGAGACAGCAAAAATATAAACGGTCAACGGACAGTGTAACGGATATTAGAACAAGATGTGGAATTGGCAGGCAGAGTTCAAATTCCGGGCTTGTCAGTTGCACTCACTTTTTCATAAATGCCGTTAAGAAAGGCATGGATCCCTTCCTTCTCCCTTCGAGCAAGTTAGTTTGGATTTCCTAGCCTTGGATGCCAACACGTCTAAGAGAAGAAAAAATCTCAATTCAAAACTGCAGAAAGTAACAGGAATCATTCCAAAGAATGCAACTCACAAATACAAAAGAACAGGAAACCGTGGAGAGCCATGATCGTCTTGAAGAAACATGGCATTAAAAATACAGTATCGAAAAGTTGGGAAAGGTATAGATCCCTCCCTTCATTAAAAATACAATATCGAAAAGTAAGTGTACATAGACTGATTTGAACAGTTAACTTGGATTGCTATAGAGATTTTCCAAGCGTAGCTTAGATGTGGCACAAGGCCGGAAGTATGGGGCACCCAGTGACGATTGAACTCACTACTCAGTCGTAAATGTTCTAGCGGGACAAGCTTTCTAATCATTATATCGGCTCGAGGTGCCCCTTGGATAGTTATATATGTTCGACCAAATACCCTCTGGCCATCTTTAGGTATCCATTATTTTAGCTCATGTGGGATAGAACATGTTAATTACTGTATTATTTTATTCCTGTAAGATTATTTCTTGTTTGTTCCTTTTGAATCAGCGTGCATTATTTCACTACCTTATGCAGGGACTGAACTCACCAGCACGAGACGAGAACAACACACTATTAATATCCACTATGCCATTGTCCAGAATTATACTGTGGTGCCTTTTGAGCTTCTAAATCCAACGTTAGTGTCGACATTTTGGTTATTACGTTCATGCTACTTGTTCGATAAGTTTCATTATCAAAACCATATGGACATCTGTGGTGTGTATGTTTTTTATTTTAAAGAGAGAATGTGTATGTATCTGGCTATAGATATGTATACATGAATATAATTGCACAAGTGTACGCCTGAGTTCATCCTTCAAATCTCTAAATTAACCATTCGTCCTTGCATGGAATATTACTGCCATATATGTTCTGGAGCCCTCGCTGTTCATCTTAGTGTCCTCAGCAAAATCCAGACTGATATGAATGTTGTTGGCCATGATCGTTTACAGTCGTTCTCTCACAGACGCCCCGTCGCTTCCATTTTCTACAAATACTTTCACGGTAACTGTTCCGACGAGCTATTTTTGCTAGTTCCCGAACTGCAAGAATTTAAACGTGCTACTAGGTTGGCGTTTCAGTCCCACCCTTTCACTGTTGAAACGGTTAAATGTAATCGTCTCTTCTACTCCAATAGCTTCATGTCTCGCACTTCCTGTCTGTGGAACTACCTTCCTCTTACTTCCTTCCCTGATAGCTATAAACTCCAACTATTCAAATGCAATGTCAATCGACATCTCTAGATGCCGTGATCAAATTCCCTGTTCTCTTCATCCTTTCCTCTTTCACGCTTCTTTACTCATGCTTCCACACTCTGTAACCCCTTACGTGCTAGTGGCACTCCCGTCTTACTTGGAGTGAAAAGTTAATATATATATATATATATATATATATATATATATATATATATGGGCATTGAGTAAGCTTTCAGAAAACTAATCAATGGCCAAATACTCCCATAGATATTAAGCATATCTCATTCAACTTCATTGTTGTCAGTGTCAAATATTTGTTTCCGGCGTAGCAGATGTCATCGCCATCTGCAGAGTCATTTTGTCCTTCTTCCTCAAGAAAGATATCATCTTCACTGTCGTCCATTGCGTTCGTGATGCAGCATTTTTGGCCAGAATGCTTTCAGAAATATTCAGACTTCCAATAACCATGTAGATTTAGAAATCTCAGGTCTGCGAACGCGGTCTATGGGAAGGAATGACTTGTATGCGTTTGTTCTACATATAGTTTACATTTTGTGCTTAAAAACAAAATGCAGACTACAAAAATTCCTATTTTTTAGTCGTCACTAAACGGATAAAAGTTAAATTTAAGTTAAAAATAAACTCCTATACCTTCTAAGATGGCAGCGCGCAAACTATTTTTGATAATTCCACATCACAAAGATATAATTTCGTATTATACACAAGTGCGTATTTTACATGAATAATGACGGTATTCTTAACTATGGGTTTATTTACATCTGGATACAAAACTTGGTATCGTTTTGGCATTTGCAGAACCCACTATCGTTTTCTCCCTCTCGGATTAATTTTTAAAGGAAAATAACAAAATAACAAGAAAACTTTCAAATCGATGTCAGTGTATATTATCAATATTTGCATTAAATTCCGAATAATATTCAATATTTGAGAAAATATTGAAAAAGATATTTCTTTGATGAGCATATTCGGTTAAGGCAAGTAATGTAAATGTTGAACAAGGGTAAAAAAAAAGAAATTATTGAAAAGCATCGAAATATTAATATAGGTTGTTGGAGTATGATAACATTATTTATTTTATATAACATTATATACTATGATGAAAATTTCTCCGATTAAACCAGTAGAGAAGACAATATTCATGAATAAAAATGACAATAGGAAAACTGGTAATTGCTGACGCGTTTCGTCCAATGTGGACTTTATCAAAGCAAAATACGAAAAAAAAAAATTTTTTTTTCGTATTTTGCTTTGATAAAGTATTTTTAAAAAAAATACGAAAAAAAAAATTTTTTTTCGTATTTTGCTTTGATAAAGTCCACATTGGACGAAACGCGTCAGCAATTACCAGTTTTCCTATTGTCATTTTTATTCATAATTATATACTATATAACATATGGCATTGTCATATAGGAAAGCTGGTTCAATTTTTCGAGCCAGGAAGATTTTTCTCGTCAGAATCCATCATGGATATTTATAAAGCAACCATCCATCCGTGCATTGAATATTGATGCTATATCTGGCCTGCCGTTTCTGCTGTGTATCTTGAGATTCTTGACGAAATTCAAAGAAGGGTCTGTAATCTAATCGATCCTGACTAGGCATCCCGACTTCATTCACCCTCTCGCAGACGTAACCTGGCTTCCATCTGTCTTTTCCACAAATATTCTTATGGCAACTGATGAGCTTTTCCCTACTAGATTGGCAATTAGGTCTCACCATTTTACTGTTGAACTAGCTAGATGCTACCATCTCTTTAATTCTAACAGTTTCTTTTGTTCCACTTCGCAACTGTCGAATACCGTTCCGATTCCTTGCTTTCCTGCCATCTACAATCTTCAAATTTTAAATGCAACGTCAATCGCCATTTTTTTTTACCTTTCTGGTGTCTGCTCCTTTATTGTCCTCTCTTTACTTCTCACTAAAGTGTCCTCATTCACTTTCACTCCCTGTAACCTTCTACGTCTTAGTGGCTTTATCACCTTACTTGAGGTGAAGTAAGTAAACAATCATATATTATGTATTACTGTTATTTATATCATTATAATAATAATGCCTCAAAAACAAAACTGCTCTCTATTACTCACCACAGAGAACCATCCCTGCCCCGCCCCATTAGAATGTCTGATGCTCAACTCCACGAGAGCATCTCTTTGCGACTGCTCGGTCTCATATTGACTGTTGATCTGACATGGAACAAATACATTGAGTCAATAACTTCGCCCACCGCAAGGAAAGTTGGCTTCCTGTGCCGCGACAGGAGATTTTTCTCGCCGGAGTCGATCCTTCAAATCTACAAATCAACCACTCGCCCTTGCATGGAGTACTGCTGCCATATATGGTCTGGAGCACCTTCTGTTTCTCTCAAGGTTCTTGATAAAATCCAGAGACGGATATGCAATGTAATTGGCCCTGATGTGGCATCTCGTCTGCAGTCGCTCCCTCACAGACGTGCCATCGCCTCTTTTTTACAAATACTTTCACGGTAACTGTTCCGATGAGCTACTTTCGCTGGTTCCCAGACTTCATGAATTTAAGCGCTCAACTAGGCAGGCATCTCGCTCTCACCCTTTCACTGTCGAAACTGTTAAATGTAGCCGTCTCTTCTACTCCAATAGCTTCATGTCTCGAACTTCTCGCCTGTGGAATTCCCTGCCCTTTTCCTGTTTCTCTGATAGCTATAATCTCCAACTATTCAAATGTAATGTCAATCGACGTCTCTAGGTGCCTTGATCTATCCCCTATCCTTCTCCTCCTCCTTTCCTCTGTCACTCCTATTCTTCTCATTCCAACTCTGTGTAACCTTTTGCGTGCTTGTGGCTTCCCGC